TAATATTCAATTGAATATTATTTAGGGCTGTAAAAAAAAAAAAAAAAAAAAAAAAAAAAAGGAGAGAAACCATTTAGATTCCTAAATTCTCACCTGAACTGAGCTTTAATGTTGCTAGGGCTTGCAGATCTGGTCTGAATTTCTTTCTCCTGTTTTTCTCGCAGAATCCTTTCAGCTAGTAAGAAGTAAGTAGCAGTGATGTGATTGTATTTGTTAGTTTCCAATGCCCTAAGGAAAATACAAAACATGAAATAAACCATATATCAATGGTTTTTAGAAACCTGGACATGCATCTCACACACCTTGCTGTACTTCTCATAGCAAGAAGAGCGCCTGAAAACAGAACTGTGTATTTTTGATGTTCTGACAACCATGTCTTGGTTTTATTAAAAATAAAGACCCAACAAGTTTAGTAATTTCAACTATAGTTGGATATTTTTAGAATATCATCCAAAAAATTAAGTAATTCTTCCTTCATTGAACATTCTTTAAATGATAAAATTGTATTTCATTAATGTTATGCACCAATGGTGGGCTTTCCCCACTAGCACACACAACCACAAAGCACCAATATTTGTTTACGCAACAACTGGAGGAAAACCCTTCGTTATTTTAGGGCTGTCACATTAAGTTTACAGTAAAATTAAGTTCATAAGCCAGTAAGCATCACTCAGACATTCTAGCAGAAAGGATTATGCCACTGTTATGCAGCTAAAAGCTTAAGAAGCAAGACTGCTGTTTCTGCCCCCCTCCCCCCCCAAATGGTAAGCTAGTAACACTTTTTCCAGCTTAAACACAAACGAATAGAAAAACCAATTTTAAGTCCTCATTTGATTTGGGGAATATTTTAGAAATTTGGGGTTTTTAATCTATTAGGAAAAACTACGTAGCTTTCTAGAAAACTCACTCAGTGACAATGGCTATATTGCATTATATAGATAAAAGGAATAATATTTTAAACTAACAAAGATTCAGGTATACTGGAAATGTACTAAGGGAAAAATGCGAGAATTTTATCACCTCCAAGTATGCACGAGACATGAAGCCCAAGTAAAGCATGGATTTCAAAGCAGTTAAGTTTACTCAAGATGGCAAACTACCACAGGAATGGAACAGTGTTCCAACACATTTTCTTTAAGTTTTTCCTAAGGTCACGTTTACTTAAGGATTTCTCATCCTAGGATATCCTATCAGAGAGCAAGATTGTAATATTTTGTTTGTTAACTGAATGGCTTGATATTTAAACACTGAAGTACCCAAGTTCTCATGACATTCTTTAATCAAAAATGAGAGATGCACAAAACAAACTGCATACAGAAAATTGACAACTTACTCCACTATTGTATCTCGGTCTGCAATATCACCGAGAACCATGCGTTGTATTATACTGTTGTGTTCCTCCTCAGACAGATTTTTATATGACACAAGAGGAATATTGTACTTTGTTGCAGGAGATGGGTCAACTCCTTGGAGCCATGCATGGTTTTCAATCTCTTCCAAAGATGCCCTTCGTTTCGGGTCTCTCTGCAACATCTGTGTAATTAGACTGCGAATAAAAAATAAATCTAAACAAAATGCACTCACATGTTTAAAAAGCAGCCATTATAAGAGCAACATTAGGAATAAATTCTCTGCTGTCGTCCACATAGATCTTTAGAAGTCTCTACAGTAAACAACGTGATGGGACATTATTTATTCTTAAAGACATTCCAAATACTGCTGAACTGAAACAAACAATTTACTTACTAAAAACTATAAATATCATAAACACTGCAGTTTTCATTTACTATGCTTCCAGTCTTAGCCTGATTTTTCTGGGTTTTTTTGTTTCTTGTTTTTTTTTAAATAGGTCTTACAGGGCAACGGTCATAGATGGCCTACAGGCTGGTCTGTAAAGTAATAGAAATATAATTTTCTATTATTGCTGCTGTCAACAAGAACATGGAATGGCAAGATAAATAGAAATATTTCATTCTGAAATAGCTATCAGACTTTTGATTCTTCAGTATCCCTGAAAGAACAGTGGTCTGTTCTATCCATAGAGGAAAAAAAAACACAAACCAAAACACTGTCTGGGATGATGAAGTGACAAACCTACTAATGGGTTGATACTGAGTGTTTACAAGTGCTGGAAAGGAAGTGCATAAATTCCCCAAATAAACAGAGAAAGAAGACTTGATTAGCACAGCACATCTCTATTCACTTACTACACGTGAAAAATTCTTGGGGGAGGTATTTTTGGCTTTGCACAACAAACAGAACATGGATATACAGTTTTGGTGCCAAGGTTTCAGTGAAACTTTATTGCTCCAACATGTGGAATGAAAGCTCTGCGGTTCTCACATAATGCTTTTTATTGCACTAACTATACTACACCATATAATTTCAAGCCGCAAGGCCACACAAATCACAAAGGTAATGACTTTTTTTTTTTTTTTAGCATGAGATGATGTATGGAATTAAAAATGGAGTTTAATTCAGACTTCTTAAGACACTCCTGTAAAAAAAAAAAAAAGTCACATATATACTTAGTAGCTGTGGTCCCTGCCTTTACCAAAAGGAAAGGCGGGGTGAGACATGGGAGCCTTGATTTGCTTTGCTTTTGCTAATATTATGACAGAAAGGGAGGAAACTATATACTTCATTTGACTTTTTTTTAAACTACACCTATAGTAAAACCACGCAAATGCACCACATGTGTCTCCTGCTTTAAGCTTGCTTATGCATCCCAAACCACCAAGAATGCTTTCACTCCAAGCAGGAAGTTTAAACATTCCCAGAGCCTTTTCCCTAAGAAAACTTATCCTAGAGAGGACTTGGGTAAGTGATCTTAGACTGTTGATGCATCGCATAGAGAAAGCAGATCTACTTGGGCCTTTAAGCAAATTAGCATTAGCCAATATATTAAGCAAAAGGCTGCAAAAAATAAGTTTCCTGGCCTCAGCACAGCATGCAGCATCTCAAAGAGATTTATTTGATAGAATTCACTGATAAGAGCTCTCTTTTAAACCTCTTCCTGTATTGTATTTTAAACCTCTTCCTGCCTGTAAAGCTCTTCAAGCTGCTGAGAGCTCTGACAGCAGCTTTTCCATGTTACTGGAAATGCTAGACACTAATGACAAGACACAAAAACCAGCCATGGCATCATGTTATGCATTAGATTCCCGGACCACACAGATGACAGGTGAAAAGAGGAACGCTCATTATGAACACAGGTGTAACAAATTTCATTCTGAGTCAAATAACAGAATCCTAGGTGCTGCTCTAGTTTTTTTACTGGACTAAATGCATTTTTCAAGCATTTATAAAGGCATCTGGACTTTCATATTGAAAAGATACTCTATTGCAGATTCAAGATCCCAGCCAAACATCGTAAAATAGTCTAAGTGATGCAACTGGGATATACGTTAAATGGACTGAAGAGGTCATTAACTGATAAGGAAATACGTAAAATATTAGAACATATCAAAAAAATAAAAAAGCTGCAGTGAACACTGCAGAAAAACAACACATCAAAATGCGTTATGATTCCCAAGTGGCATATGGTATTTGCAGACAGAATATTTCTCTGTCTTGATTGCCTAGAATGTTGATTCGGAGCTGCAATTTCAGTAGGAGATGAGCGCAACTTGCTGTGATATCCTTGGGTTTTGACAACTTGTATTTTGAACAGGAATCTATAGGAATCATTACCTTTTTAACCCCTGCCACAAAATACTCTCAGCAACACCTTGTAATTTGTCCAGCAAAAGTGGCAGCCAAAGTCAGTCAGCGGTGAGCAGCTTCTTCAATCATTTATAAAATGCATGACAACCGATACACATAAAAGAAAGATACATTGTGTACAATCAAAATGATGTTTCACACAAGTGTGGGAAACACCTATTGGCAAAAAACATGGGATTAACCTTTAGTAAGAAGAGACACACAGAATAAAAAAAAATGCAATACTGGTGCCCAAGAAACTACTCAATTGATGTGAAGAAATACTAACAACTAAGCAAAAGCAGTAGGTATAATATCTTATTAACAGGCAAGGAATATTCCACATGCTGATAAATAATGTATGGGGAACTCCCAAAGGTAATAAGAATCCACTTCTCTGAATGCTTCCAAGTTCTTTAGTACTCTACTTACTCTTTACATTCTTTGGACACATGAGGTGGCACTGTGTATTTGCAGTCCATTATCATAGTCAGAGTTTCACTGTCATTTGCTTCTTGAAATGGTGGTTGTCCACAAACCAACATGAAGAGGATGACCCCCAAACTCCATATATCTGTAAATATATAGTACATATTTTAAAATAGCTGTTGAGGAAACAGACATAATCACCATCAAAACCATGAAATATTCTTGAGATGCATACTGGGGTGATTACTGCACTCTTGATTATGAGCATTACTTATGGAACTTGCAATTCCACTGAAGTACAAAATACAGTAGTTCCATTGTTTGACAGCTTTTATAGTTCTAGAGGAGGGGAAAATATCAGAATTCATGACTTCAAGGATGCATAACAGTTTAAGATGCAGAACATCTTTGACAGCAAAGTGTTAGATAAAGCTGAAGATGATCCGGTCACCCAGAAGACAAGGACTCATCACCCTTTTCTTCACAGGTAGGCACAGATTATTAGAGAGAATTGTATTCAAAGCATGTTCCTTTTCGAAGGACTAGCTACAATACTAGCAAACAATACTAGTTCTTGGTATTGTTTACAAGTTACTCTATGAAGTAAGAAATTACAAAGAAAGTCACTTATTTCAATGAGACTGAACTAGATATATTTTTCCTTCAGTAGTGTTGCTTTAAAAAATTCTTTGCTACTTCTAATGGTAAATAATAAATTAAATCATTTAGGTAAATCTACCTTCTGACCAATCATATTACAAAGTGTGGGGTGTTTTTTTCTTTTTAAATATCCATCAAACATAATATAATTAACAGTGATCTCTACTACACTCTGGGAGTCTTCCTGTTTCCTTCTAATTCCTGCTTGCATAAAATAAAAAACATGTAACAACTGTCTTGTTCCCCAATCAAGTGACATACCAAAAGATGAAAAAGAAGCAATTCTGGGCATGGAGCCCTTTAGTTGGTTTCTACTTACTGTAAAAGCTAATATTTAGTTCAAATCTTTATTAAGAATTTGCCTAGAAGAAAACATTTCACAAGTCTCACTGCATTCAATACAAGAAGCTTAAATATTGAGAAATATATCATATTGCACAAAAATAAATAAATAACTTCAATATATGCTTTGAGAAAAGGCCATGCTCTTAAACTTCAGCTGTAACTCTATGCTCTGGAAATTTCAATGGCAATTTTGGGTCTTACACCCTAGCATTTCACAGATCTGTACCCAGTAAAACCAACCAAACAGCTGAAGTCTGAGAAATTAACAGGCAGAAGCCTCCTGAGGGAAGAGGGGAGAGCAGCTGGCAGCGGTCTAGGAAGCAGAGCACGCCAGCTCCGGCCTGGAAGGGCTTGCAAGAGGGAATCACACTAAGTTACCTACCCAACTGCATCTTGCTTTCTGTGGCCTACGCAAAATACTTGACATGCATTTAACGCTGAGGGATGGCTAGAATTTTATTTAATAATGTAAATCACACACATTCATCCCTAGAACAATTACTCATTTTGCTAGTTACAACCTATTCTTCATAGAGTTTAGCTGACAGAGGAAGAGAAACACTCCATGGTAATTTTCTTTAGAGCTCTAATTTGTAGTAAGTGTATGCTATTAACTCAGACAATTATTTGATTTCTGTTATGCTTACTAGGGCCTCAATCCTATAGGTACTGAAGCATTTCAAGGCCGGTACACCGTATCATGTATACCTGCAAATTCAACATGACTACTCACATGCTTAAGATTCAACACATGCTTTAACACTTTGATAGCCTGATGCCAGAAAGCTGAATGTTCTGTAATATAGGATTTTAAAAAGCCTCACGAGACAGAGAGGTGGTTTCACCTAAGAGGTACACCTTTAATGTCGTAAAGCTACTTACACCTTTCTCCTACTGTTTAGTTCAAAAGTGGACAAAAAGTTTTGGTGCATTATCTGTCTCTCCCACCGCACAACAGATTACAAGAACTCATTTTTGCAAGCACAAAAAACATGTGAATTTATGCATTTCTATGAACAGTCATCTTTTGGATATCAATGTCCTTCCTAGATTTTTATGTTTGCCTAAGATCTATTTTGTGAAACGATCTATCCTAGTATTCTCTTCGATACTTCCCCCATAATAAAATAGAATGCTTCATGTCTCCTTTCAGCATGGAGTATTTTAGAAGAGTCCACGTGGTATTCATAATTACAGACAAATTACCTTTGCTATAATAAAGCAATATGCATTGACTAAACTTAAGCCAAGAGAAAAATATTGGGGAGGGGAGCAATATAATTAAACCATAAATTAAAAACAAGCATATAAAAAGTTTAAACAGAAGGAAAAAACACAATATTCTAAGAAATCGAGCTTAAAACAATAAGACAGTCCTGAGAAAGGATAGCAATCACAGTAAAACAACAAGTAAAGTTCCACGAAATCACCATATACAGGAAACTCTAGCAGACCTTGAAGTTTCAACTGCACTGAGAACATCCTTAAGTATTTTCTTTTAGAAAGTAGTCTTGTAATCAATTTTCTATTTTATACCCATGGCTTCATTTCCTGGATATACATACACTTTTCTGTGTTTCTATTTGGAAGGATTTGTGATGACAGACACTGTTTTAGTTTTCCAAAAGTTATTTAGATAAGCGTGTATGTACATTTACTTTACAAAAAGAATAAAAAAAGATTCAGAAGCAGAATCCAACTGATCCTCTAAATGCAAAAAAACCCTATTGTTTGCTATAACGCAATGTCCAGTTAGATACCAACCTATATGTTTTGACAAATAAGACAGTAATTAGTGATTACCCAGCACATAACAGAGAATTTTGTATATTTTTCTTTCACTAGTTACTATATTTTGCACTCCATATCCACGTCTTTCCAGATAAGAGCAGCTGCAAATGGTGAAACAACTTTTTTCTTTTTTTTAATACAACTGCACGAAAAATAGAATACAAACTCTTGTTAATAGTGAAATATCAATCGTGCACTGAACTGCTACTGTATTTCATTGTATCGTGCATTTTGTGTTACTAAAAAGGCATCACGTGTATGCAGAAAAAACTTCTGTTAGAAACTAAAAATGATGCTTAAGACCTTATGACCTTGTGATATTATCCAGATATTCTTACACTCTCAGTGAAGAGCACTAGGGTAGCAACAACTACACTTTATCTCATTCTTACATTCTACGGGAAAAGCTTACTATTACACTTTTCTGACAAATGCGTATTTTGTTAGCCTGACAGCATAGCAGACACTTGTTCTGATGTGGCCAAGAAACAAGAGTGCACAGAAACAATTACCTGGCTTTTATTCTCACCGTATTTTTATAGCCGTGGCTGAAGAACAACTTCACTGCATCTGCAGTCACAGCTACTGAAATGACTCAGCTCAGAGTGTCAAGGACACACCTGAGCAGCCTAAGCACACTTAAAAGTATACTAATAACAAGGAAGCAAGAAAGTAGTGTGCCTAAGTAAGGCTAATCTACATGTGAAGACTGAAAACAGAAAAATCACTGGAAGACTTAGTGCAGACCTTATCATGTCACGTGACAGAAAACATCTTGGGATCACCTTGATAAGCCCTCCAGGATGATATCATAGCAAGTCTCTCCTCATTTACGGAAGCAGAGCCAAGTGTTTGGATATCTGTAGGTGTACTAAGAGGGCACATTCCAGAGTTCTGTCTTGCCCCTTCATATGCAGGCTTCCAAATCAAGGAGTTGCTCCCTACTCTATTCTCTGTGCCAAGGTTTAACTAGACCCAATCACTTGTTTGCAACTCCACATGCAACTGAAACAAACCCAGCAACCAACCTGATGAATGATGCAACATCTTTAAGGCAGCTCTCTTTCTGGTCAACTGCAAGTTGCCACCTTATTAAAGATAAAGGCACAACGGAAAATGTGCATGGTGCTACACCCACATCTAAGAAAAAGAAGAGACTCTCAGGTTTTTTTGCCCCTCCCTACTTAGTGAATCTTCCATCAGCTTTTGTCCTACATATAAGTGATCAGACCAGCCTTACAGATCTTGCATCGCAGGTGTTTGCAGAAGTTTTTGATGCCTTTTTTTGACTGGAAAAGTAGCATGATGGCCAAGCTCACTCCTATGTTTTGCCATCCAGTATTTCAGGCAACAGTCTATGGGTGTGTGCTGGTTTCCGCTGGGATAGAGTTAATTTTCTTCCTAGTAGCTGGTATAGTGCTCTGCTTTGGATTTAGGATGAGAATAATGTTGATAATACACTGGTGTTTTAGTTGTTGCTAAGTAGTGTTTACACTAGTTAGGGACTTTTCAGCTTCCCATGCTCTGCCAGGTGCACAAGAAGCTGGGAGGGGGCACAGCCAGGGCAGCTGACCCAGACTGGCCAAAGGGCTATTCCATACCGTATGACGTCATGGCCAGTATATAAACTGGGAGGAGATGGGCTGGGCATCAGTCAGCAGGCGGTGAGCAATTGCATTGTGCATCACTTGCTTTGTGTATTATTATTATTACTACTACTTCACTTTATCTTCTTTCAATTATTAAACTATTCTTATCTCAACCCATGAGTTTTCTCACTTTTACTCTTCCAATTCTCTCCCCCATCGCACCAGGGAGGGGGAAGTGAACAAGCGGCTGTGTGGTGCTTAGTTGCTGGCTGGGGTTAAACCACAACATGGAGTTTGTATTTTAAAAAAAAAAAACCAAACAACCTTAATGAATCACCATAATTAGGAGGAGTGTTGCCAGCAGGTCAAGGGAGGTGACCCTTCACCTCTGCTCAGTACTAGTAAGGCCACACCTGGGGTACCATGTCCAGTTTTGGGCTCCCCAGTACAAGAGAGACATGGACATACTGGATTGTCCAATGAAGGGCCACAAAGATGATGAAGGGCCTGGAGCATCTCTCCTTTGACTAAAGGCTGAGAGTGCTGGGGGGAACTGTTCAGCCTAGAGAACAGAAGGCTGGGGGGATCTTATCAATGTATATAAATACCTGAAGGGAGGGTGCAAGGAAGCTGGAGCCAGGCTCTTTCCAGTGGTGCCCAGTGCCTGGACTACAGCCAATACACACAAACTGTAACACATTTCCCTGAGCATTAGGAAGCACTTTTTCACTGTGAGGGTGACCGAGCACTGGCACAGGTT